ATATCAAGCACCATTGTTCAAATCTGGAAGGAGGCGCTGGAAATCCGGCAATTTTTAGAATTGAAGTGGGCCTTATCATCTAATGTGCAGTTGGTGAGTAAACTGCTCATCGAACGGAATTGCTGTGACCCTACAAGTTATTCAGATGTCATTTTGATTTGCAGTTAACTGATAGTCACATGTCCCCAAAACACTGCCTCGTCTTGTTTACTCCCAACTGGTGTTTACAACATGATATGTGACATACCAATTTAAATAATCATGGATGACTAATAATTCACAGACACTGACTGAAACAATAAGCAAATAAAGAAAACAAAGAAATTAAGGAATTTTTCTTCAATTTCATAATGCACTACATCTATGCCATACTTTTTTCTCTGAAAAAGGATATACATTTACTGGTAATAAACAATGCTTTTTTTTTTTTCTTAACAGGTTCCTAAAGAACTGTAAGCAGTACAAAAAGATATCCTGTTGTTTGGAAATTGATACTTCAAGTTTTATCAATATGATAAAAAGTTGGTTTCTAAAGTATAGCGAAAAGGGATTAATTTGTGTTTTGTAATGAACAGATCAAGAAGAAAGTATCCACTGAGAAACATATAACTTTTATATAAAACAGTCTAGTGCACTCTTATTAACTACTGACTGGCAAAATTGAGACTATTGTTCTCTTATGGAATGGAATGTATACAAATACATATGCATGCACACATGCATATACGTACGCTTTATACAAGAGTAAGAAGTAGCTGTATTTTTCCATCCGTTAGTATATATGTTAGTATATATGAGTTATTTTGCATTTTTGAAAAAGCAACTTTAAAAACAAGTTATATTAAATACTGTAAGTGACATTTCTAACTTCAATGGGGATATCCCATATGTGGATTACTTCAATTTTCAGCTACATGTATTTGTAAGCATGTATGCAATACCTTGAATAGAAATAATAAGCCTTCTCCAAGTAATCAGCGGGCATCCAACCTACCAACATTTTATATCTGAAACACAATTGAAATGACATAATAAGGTTGTAATAGCTGTATTAAATAACAGTTCAGAAGAAACAAAGTATCTTGTTATATTGATGAAAGGATATCCAAAATATGTATCCAATATATACACATCTACACAGAAAGAGTAAGATTATATACGCCTATACAGAAAGAGTAACATTGAAACAATCTGGATACTTATAGCACCACATATATTGTGTCTGTGACAAAAACCATACCGTACCCGATAAAGCAACCCCCCCCCCCATAAAGTAACATCAAAAAATTGTGGCCGCCAATAAATTTCGAAAGTAGCGAAAAGCTGAACTGAGTCCGTTATATGGCTTAAAAGTATGATACATTACTGATACTTTTTCTCTTCAAAAACTGTCATTAAANCCCCCCCCCCAAGGAAAATGGTGAGACCAAAGTTGAGTAAATAAATATATTTATTTATCCAATCAAGTAAGTCAGGTGAAACACCTTAACAGCAAGAAGAGGGTTTTTCCAACCTGAGTTGCTTGCCCTGTGCTGGACATGATATCATGTCCAGTAAATGTACAAATGTCACAAACGGTAGGGAGGCGTGGAAGCCTGTCAACTCCATATTACACTAAACTTTTCCCAAATCCAGTGAAAAGAATTTTGAAAACATCCATTTTGTCAGTCACATATTGCAAACGTTTTTGTTCTTCTTTCAGCTGTGTAAAATGAATGAAACCCTTAGGAAATCACTCCTCTTTGAAAGAGATCTCCTAGTGTGGTTGGCAAAACACCTGTCAACTATCAGTGATCTGACCAATTACAGGTTGCACTAGATTCTAGTGCACAGAAGGTGCCTTGGAACAGCGGCATACAACCTTTGTCTACAGGCTCCAACGCCACAACCCCACCCCATTTTCCCCTTGGCCACTACACTCTCAGCCACTACCTTTTTGGCCCTTCCAGCTGGAGCCTGTTCATTGGCCAGGTTGCCAACTCCCATCCCCACCCCTACCCCCAATAAGTCCCCTCTTTGGAGTACCAGTACTGGTTTCATGCAGTAATAACATAACTGACAAATATCAACCCTCCAAGTTGCAACCATTTTAGCCGCCATGGCAACTAGAATTTGGGAGCTGGCAACTAACTTGAAACAAAAGTCGCAAGCCCGGTGACTAAAATCAATAGCTTCAGCAGACCATTATCCGGACTGACAAGAGTTCTCTGAACATAATGAATTCACTCGTAAAAATAAGTTCTTCTCCCATTTTAAACCCACTGAAATTGAGACTAAAATAAAATGAAACGTTTAATTCCAGAGCCTATCATGTAATAAAGAACAACTTTGCAGCACATCTTTGAGTTTCGTATGCAATGAACTTTGTTCCACTTGACTGAACTTTGGCATGTGATAATTTTGCTTTTGAGAAAGAGATATGAACGCAATGTGTACAAATTCTGTATCTTTGGTACATTGATGCCAAGTTTGGTTTTGTGCCATGAAACTGGAAAATGCTCACAAAAAATTGTACAGCGCCTTCGCAGCATTTTTCTGCCGAACATGGCTATTTTTAAATGTGGAAAGAAATTTGATCAGGGCAGATTTTGATCACGCACTAGATAACCACTTCTGAACAGGAACATGCATCACGCAATCAACAAAACGATGCTATAATTTTCGTCAAGTTTTATCTCAACACTTGATTACCCATGTACCTTGAATTTACTCTTTTTTTCAAACTTGTTGTCAAAACATTTAGTCGGCAGATGGCTTACCTGGGCTTTTTGGCACATATATTTCACAACTAGCTCAGTATGTTTGTGTGAAGGGTCGGTCAATTGATGAAAGATATTGTTGCTGTTGTTGTCTGTTCTTAGTGGCTTTTCTTCTAGTACAGGTTTTCTGTTCAATGAGTATGAGTCACTTTTCCTAACATGCTTAGCAAGCAGAGTTCAGAAAAACCTGTCAATCTTCAAAAGGAATTGATCGCAATTTTATATGATCATCAATAATAATCAGCTAATGCTGTTCAGAGGCAGTTGCGTGATCTTAGTAATAAGATTGGTCCCGCTTTGCAGTCAGTTTTTGTAACTAAGAAATTAGAGCAAGATCTCAAACCTAAAGAAGCCAAGCCATCAATTGTCATGTTGCTGTACACAAGAATTTGGCAGTCAACAAGCATTTTCATGAAGCGCATGGTAGGAGCGATCTTTTGAATGAGAGTGATTTCAAGATTCTGAGAAAGTGCCAAGGCAAATTTGATTGTGTAGTGTTTGAAATGCTTTACATCACGAAAATTCAAACCAAATGGACGCCATACATGCGAAACTCTTTGTTTAACTTGTACATTATTTTCATCACTTATTGTTCATTTTAGTATATATATCTTAGTTTTTATCCATTTTTTTTGACTTGATAATGTCGTTATGGTAACGTCAAAACATTGTCGATTTTAATTCAGCTTTTTAGCTTTTTAAATCTTAGAATGTTTTTAAGAAATGTTCTGTCGCAATATTTTATCGTCAAATTATTTGAATCACTTTTTATTGAACTAGCTCAGGGACTGCATAACTTATTATTTATTGTTTATTATCTAATATATTAATTGGTTAATATTGATTAATAAATTAATTTTTAAACTTTGGCAACACTGGTGACCAAACATAAACTTTCATAAACTTTCTTATCTTGGACGGTTGATTATATATGTAACAACAGTCCAATAGTTATACGTATTTCAAACAGAAAATTATTCTCAAAATTGCAACACTACCACTAATCAGCTTCGAACTCTAGGATGAGAGGGTGTGTTGTATTTTAATATCATTCCTAAAAGTAAAGCATTGATGGCTCCCATAAGAACGGTATGCTTTAGCTTATATCTATTGTATCTGATCAATGTTTGCACAAACCTAGCATAGTTTACATGATGCAAGACCTCTTGCACCGAGGTATCTGGAGTATAAACTATAGCGCCTTTAGAACGAAAGCAAACAAACTTAAATCTTATTTTGGACATTTAATAGAAAAAAAAATCTCGGCACGAATCACTAACTTGAGTAACTTGAACGTACTGCGCGTCGACAACAAGACTAGTAAACTTATAGTTAGCTGTTTAGTTCATTCGAGAAGGTACAATGTAGTCTTAATAGTATCTCCTCGAATAAAATCAACACGCTGTTAGTCTTCCAGTCATGTTTTCGTATTAAAAGCGAGAGAGTTTTGACCTCTAGTAATAACTTTCTCTTTTATCATGAAGCCGTGAAGTGTAAGGTCAGCAATGTCAGCCGTAAAGGTCAGCAATTTAGGTCCGTAAAAACTGTCGTTACGGTACAAGTTGTAAACATTTCGTTTGGCTTACTTACCTCAGCAAGTTTAAGTAGCTGAAATAGCATTTGCGGAACTAGCCTTAGAGATGTTGCACGGAACGGGCCGC